TCGGGTAAATACTTGTGTTAATTGACTACCCTCGAAGAACGAAATTGTTCCTCTCTATCCTGAGATGTCCTATCTCAATTTACCATTGCTTAAGCATTTGCTAAATACTCGGGATTCACGCGGAGTTGAGATTGAATTGGGACGAGATTCTACGACTGTGACGATCTCATGTAAAACGATAATTGATGTTGGAAACGATTGAATACTCGATAGAAGATTCTTATATAGCGAGGTGTTTATAAATTTGTTTGGCGAATATTATCAAGAAGAAGAAGAAGAAAATGAAGAAAAGTTGAAAATTTCGTTCGTTCTATCGAGTATTTTCGCGATTAATTATAGAGCGTATCCTCGTGGCTCGAAGAGTGTTTAATCCCAAGCAGGGCGTATTGTTGAACGTTTTAACGGGTGACAGAGTCGAGGCAGGCCATATTATCATAATTTGGCGTAAGGTTGCAGTCGGCGCGTTGTTGCCACGCCGGAGATAGTTTAGAATTGGGTCGGTGAGTCTCTAACGTGCTCTAACAAACGCATATTTCCCGCAAAGCAACTTGCCGAGAAGTTTATGCGGCACGGAGATTATTATAGTTTCATGGAAGACAGGAAGCTTTTGCGAGAATGCCTGATTAAAATTTCCAAGAAGATTTAAATTCGACCATCTTGCAAGAATTTTCCCTTCTTTTTCCCTTCGAACGTGTTTCGCTATACGAGCATCAAATATTAACGTTATATTACGGGTTTATTAATATAATATAAATTTGATCGATAGGATATGGAGTATGGAATATTATATTTGGTAATTTTTTGTCGGTAATATTCTGTGTTAATTGGAATCTATCGGTTGTCCAACAGAGTTATCCACGTTATTTTTGAGATGGGAATTACCTTTATGGAAAATTTCTCTGAGAGAATTTTTAACGCTTATTTGTCGCGTATAATAATAAATAATATTTTATTATTATTTTGTAACGAAACATTGATTTTTATGTGCATATATATATATATATATATAAAATTTGGGATCGCGTGTTATTTAACTGTAAAATTATCAACACTTTGTTTCAACGTGGTCACATTGCAACATCATTGAACGTGACATTGATTTTTATGCAAATTCACGGGAGAGCGAATTCATCAATTTCAATGCAATCGTCCACGTTTAATTTTTTTAATTAATTTCACGAATTATTTTCAACGATATATATATATCTTTTAAAATATTATCGTGATATTTTCCAACCTTTTCTTTAATTCACTTTTGAAAAAAAAAAAATGAGAAATCGTCAATTTTAAATTTCTCGAGGGACAAACGTATAACGTAAAAGAGTCGCAACATTTCCATAACCTTTCCTTGATATAAAATTTATTTTCCACCGCATCCTTATTTCTCGCGCCAGACTAACAAAAGTATTTCTCCCTAAATATTTTAACTATCTTCATATTTTCCAACGAGATACATCCCCCTTGAGAACCCTTTCAAACCTAATCCCTAATCCAACTCCAAATTACGCAATTACGACTCGAGACGAAATCATTCTTTGTCTCCTCCCCATTAATCCCCTCCAACCCTTAAGAATCCGCGACACCGATCCAAAATGGACCCTCGATCGCTGGTCCTCTCGATCCTCCATCGCCCAAGTACATTCGAGCCAAAGTGGATGGATAAAAGCACCTTTAAAAATACTCGTCTTTAAAATCGAATTTTCCACTCCGCTGTCTGTAAATTCAATTATCCTCGAATCTCTGCCGTATAAAAAATTTTTGCCACGGGAGGCATAGTAATGGGAAGACGAAGGAAGGAAGGAAGAAAGGAAGGAAGGAAGGAAGGAAGGAAGGAAGGATCGATCCTTTCGCGAATCGCAATTACAGGGACAGGGGTTAGTCCAGGGCAGAACACAAGGGCGGGTAAAGCAAACGATTTTCCTTTCCCCGTTTCATGCAAGCCTTTGTGTCGTTACCAGCCTTCGTTTCCCCTTTCTTTCTCTCCCTCACAGTGTTTCAAAGAGGTTGTTTTGTGTGAAACGGGGAGAAAAAAAAATGTTGCGCGACACAGCATTGTGGATGTATTCGTGTGACGAGAAATTAGATTGAGGGGGAGGGGGTTGAAAAATATCCGTCGATAAATGGAGAAATAAAACGAGAGACTTTTTTTGACCCGTCGAATCTTTTCTTTTTTCTTTCTTGCGTCAATTACCAATTGTATCAATTGATGTTTGACGATATCAGAAATTTTAATTTTCGGGATAAAAGAATTTTTTTCCCCGTATAGATTCTTGGAAAGAGTTAAAAAGTAATTTAACTAATGTCTTTGAAATGATTAATTGGTTAGAACGAATATGCGGTGGATTTCTAGGAATAATTAAAAAGTGTTTGCAATTTTATTCCTTTTTTTTTTTTTTTTGTTTTAATTTATAACGAATACATTGAATTTTTTAAATTAATTAAAAAATAAAGTCTCATGGAGGAGGCAAGTAATTTACGTGGAAATGTATATTTTATTTTTGCGGTCGTAACGAAGGCATTGAATTCGTAGGAAAAAAAAAAAAAAAAAAAAAAAAAAGAAAAGAAAAAAGGAAAAAAGGAAAAAGAAGAAAGGAAAATTGTTAAATTGTTAAATTTTATGAGATGATAAATGCATTTCGATTTTTTCCCCGAAACGTTTGAAATTCGTATCGATATCGTATACGTTATCGTTAATTAATATTGCCAATTCGTTATTAAACCTCGACATTCCAACTTAATAGTACAATTCGATATTACACGATTCGATATTTTGTATCACGGATTACGGCTCGAATATAATTAATCGTAATTTATTAATGAAATGTAATTTATGAAAATTTTGTATTGTAACCGAGTAAAACAGTAGTACAATTCAATAATACGTCGCCTTTGTTGAAATCTTGTCCCACGTGTGAATATTACAACGTATCTTAATATCGCAACAGAATGAAAAGCTTTCAACGTTCATCCAAATTTTAAGTCGTATCCTCCTCTCTTCGAAATTCTTTATTATCCCGTTTCATATTCCGCGTCTTTTTTTTTTTCTTCTTCTTCTTTTTCATCCGTCTATTTTATAATGAAAAAGAAAAAAAATAGAAGAATAATGGAAACAGTATTCGAAAAGAAGTAACAAAAACTCGATCATGGAGATTTGTTTAATAACATAAGCAGATATCGCGTTCGACACACACATACACACACGCACACACGTTGTAAAAACATCGGATTACTCGCAGCAAATTTTAAATCTCGCGTCAGATTTAAATTATTCCCGTACGAATTTGTTTAATACGAATTTATAGCGCGGAGATAACAATCTCGTTTAAATCGAATGTTGGCGTGTGACCGGCTGTGACCAACGAAAAGATGATCCTAAATAATATTTAATAACCGTGAAATATGTTTTTTTTTTTTTCTTTTAATCAATTTAACAAAAATTCAAACGATCGAATGTTACTTTTCACCAGTGGAGAAATCGAAAATTGATTTAAAAATGTAATGGAATGATCGATCGCCTTTCCATGGATGGATGGAATTTGATAATAAACCCTGTAATTCCGAATCGCTTGAAATTCACTTCGGTTTTTAGTCTCTGATAAAATCGTCCGCAATCGGTGCAGATCGAGGGAAAGATTTCAATTCCAAGAAGGGAAATAATGAGAAAGAAACGAAACAATTTTACTTTCGAAACTCGCACGAATATTCGTTCGAGAGTTATATAAAAGAGTTATATAAATCAACCTGCGAACATAGAACCCACTTTCAACTTTTAATTGCCGTTTATCCTACGAAAAAAAAAAAAACTTCTAATTTCACAAACTATACCAAATATTAAATAATCTTGATGGAATTCGTGATGGAAAAAGTGAAAAAAGAAGAAATTTCTCTTTTTAATTCTCTCTCGTAAAAAAAAACTCTACACTTGCGTATTTATTAAACTTTTAAATACTTTTAAATATATATGCAACCTCGCGAAGGAATTCGATTTTTTCCTCCGTAAGAAGTAAAAAAAAAAAATAAATAAATAAAAACTCTTCAACTCTTTCTAAAAATAACAAATCCTCTCGATATCTCGATCGCCACGTCCACGATTTGACTACGCACGAAACCCGTCCCCGACGAATCCGAGGAACGAACGCGTGGAAGGAAAATTGGCGAAACGATGGATGGGACGAAATGACGACACAAAAACGCGTTCCTTGGCCGGGTTGATCGGTGGAAATACGCAGTGCACGAACAAACCGCGTGACTGGCCATCCACGCCCAAGAGTATCGCTCTTATGACGTGGTGTACACACCACCACGTTGCCGTGTGTATATCCCCATGATCCCCTGGACGGAAGCTGCCCATTAACCGGCCAATGATGATGCCAACGGACACCCGGGTCAGATCTCCGCCTCCTGGTACCGAGCACGTCACTCGTTTTCGTTCCTCGCCTCGTTTGCGACGACGCGTTGCCGTTTCCTCGTCAAAAAATTCGTGCAACGAGATATCGTTCGGGGAGGAGGGATATATAAGACGTTTTCGCCTTCGTCGAGGGGGGGATTAGGAAAAATTAAGAAAAATTTTTTCTTAATTTATGGCGGAAGAAAAGGAGATGGAAAGTAAAGGGGAAATAATTGGAAAAAATGGAAGGAGGCGTTGTTATACGGAGGATGTCCTTCCAAGGTGTCTACACGTTTGAGAAACCCTTTTAGAGGGATAATTGGATCGAAGGATTTAAACGATTTCCAGCGGATCTTATTTCGAAGAAGCCACGCTCGAACTCGCTTCGACCTGTGCTGGCTCCTCTCGCGAATTGGCGATGGACTATCGCTCGATTAAGGTGTACGTGAGTGGAATATATGGATAGAAAAGAAACTGATACGGTTCTGTAACTAATTGCCGATTTCTGGTTTAACACGAATCGAATAATCGTATTATAATTATAGTTATATAGTTATATATATAGTTATATATAAATATAGTTATAATTATAGTGGTAAAAAAGGACAAGAAAGGAATAATTTGCAAAATTGTAACGTTGCTTGGTTTCCGTGAAAATTGGTGTGCCTAGGATTGAAGAGAGAAAAAGTTTAATCAAAACGTTTGATATATCCGAGTAGAAAAGGAAAAAGGTGTATTTTGAAGAGTGATTACGTATCGTTGACACAGTTGCACGGTGGATGCAAGAAAAGTGTGTCGTTATGCTCCCTCCTGTGTACCCCACTGATAATCTCAGTGTCGTTGATTAATCGAGCGAACGGCTAAGTTTCTTGATACGCAGTGACATCAATAAGCGATGACCAGTGATCACGCGAGTGCACGTCGTTGTTCCGCCTCGCAGTTTCGTAACGAGTATCTCGCGAGCGACAGAGGAAACCGCCAAAGGATCTACATGGATCGGTACGTGGTTCTTTTTGGTTTTTTAAGAAAAAATTATTATAATTTTACGAGTGATTTTTTACGAAAACTTAGAAATGATTTTTCTTTTTTTTTTTCTTTTATGTTAAAAAAGTTGTCGAGAAAATCTTATTAAAAATTTATTCGTTGAATAGATTCTCTTTATTGTAATAAACAGAGTTTTGAGTTCCCACGGGGAAAGTTTCTTGTTTTGTTTAAAAAAAAAAAAAAAAAGGAAAAGGTATCTCGTTTCAAATAATGGCTTCTTTGTTTAACAAATTTTCTCCGTTTTCACAAAGGAATTTCCGTTTGTTAAAAATATTCCTCATTTATTAAACAATTAGCAACAACTTTTTGCTAGAAAAAAAGTTTTCGTTTTTAGCGAATTCTCTATTCCATCGAGAAACCTTGTTTGAACGTTTGAAACAACGTTGTGTTACGCTAAACGTTACGCTAACGAACAATACTTTTTACATTACGGAAAATTAAAAGAATCTATTTTATTAAAAAAAAAAAAAAAAAAAAAAATTCTCTCTTCTCGCAAACGAATTTTTAATTCGATGCAATGTGTTCAACTTACGTAAAATAAATACGTAAAAAATCTGTAACGTCTTAAAATAAAATATCAAAAAGGATGAATGGTGAACTTTATGAGGGAAACTCTGTGACGAAATATTTTTTTTCGCGTACGCTATTAATTCTCCTATAATTCTTTTCGCTCGCACTTTCGTGCTTTTTATGCCTCGACAAAGAAACTTTTACTTCGATTTACTGTAACGTCGCCCTAAGCTCTGTCGAAGTTATACGTGGAAGAGAGGGAAAAAAAAAAAAAATACAAGGTGGCAGTAAAAAGAGCAGGGGATAAAAACGATAGCACACTTGGGTGTCGGGAGCACGTCCAGGGACATATATTTTTGGAAACTTTTCCTTCGAATTCTCCCAGCCAAGTTACGACGCACGAATCAAATTATAAAAAGTAAATACACACATTTTTTGTATAAAAACGAAAAAAAAAGAACACATTCGATAGTATTTTCCTTTTGTTTTTTTTTTTTTTTTTTTTTNAAAAATATCGTTTTACGCGCGGCTCATAGAAACTTTTCTCGAGCGTACTTCACTGTGTAAAAAAACTCTAAAACTGTTGAATCGACATAGCAGAAATTCGTATGGAAAAAAACGTGGCGCGGAAAACAAATGTCGAAGTGAATTCCTGGGATAAATGGAAAATTGGAATTAATATTTTATGGCAACGGTAATCGTTGTTATGAAGAAAAACGATATTTAGAGGGAAAAGAAGTAAAATGACAAGGAAAGAAATCTCGTTTAATAAATAATGAAAGACACGTTTGAAATTTCTTCCGTGTTAATTTATTGTTCATCGAAACTCGTTCGTCATTTGTTCGAAACATTACATCGACACCAATATCAATCGTCTCGACCGATATCGCTCGTTTTCACAGTCAATACACATTTTTCCACGATTGCACACAATTCACGCACCGTTCATTGATCAATTGGAACAATTGGATCAATTAGAACAACGCTTGTTTCGAAACGTCGTCTCGACGAAGATAAATTATTATTCAAGAGTGTGACACTTGTTAAATAAATTTTACACGGAATAATACGAATCAACAATTTCAATCTATTCTCGCGATCTTAACGACTCGGTGTTAATCCAAACTGGCCGAGTTTTATCTTTGAGAAAAAAAAAAACTCTGACTCAATGGAATAAATTCTTCGAATATGAAATAAAATATAAAATTGTAAATTCGTTTGAGAAGAAATTCGATAACATCTTAACTTAATCATCGAACCAAAGATTGTCGTAATAATTAAAATTATTTATTAAAAGTTATCGAGATTAGTAATTTTTTTTGTTTTTCTTTTATGCAAAATATGAAGCAATATTTTTCCTATCCGCATTAATTTCTTCTCAAATATCTACATTATACAAATATATCTCGATTTTTCTTCGAATGCGTGAATAACAAATTTACAAGATTGGTAAAAATATAAATATTTTTGCAATCGTAAAATGAGATAATCAAAGCGTGAAATAATGTTGTTGCTTTCGTGATTCGTAAATCGACTTGTTTTCTACAGATGCTTGTGATATCTCTGAACAGAGAGATCATAGCTAATTATGAAATTTCCTGCTGAGTTAATTACGGCCACTCGTAATTGTAAAGGGTACCGCGTTTCACGATCGTGTTTAATTGGAAAACCGAGAATGATATTTCACCCGGTATTTGCTACCTAAAGTAAACGATCGATCCAGTGTCGTCCTATAAAATCTACTCGAACAATCGGTCGGCGAAAAAAGTTAATTCGAATTCGATATAATAATAGTAATATTTAAAATATAAAACGATTGCGACTCTCCCTCCCTCTCTTTCTCTCTTTCTCTCCCCCATATTTCTATTCTATTTCAATCCATGAAATATTTAACGAGAAAAATCAAAGTTAATTCCATTCAATTGAAAAATTAAAAATTTTACCCTCCTATATCTTTAAAACTAACGACTTTAAAAAACTAACGATTCTTCAAAGAATAGAATCGATCGCTCGATGTATCTATACACGAACGCATAAATTTAATTAAATGTAAATAAAAAGATAATAATAACAAGGGAAAAAAAATAAAAGAAATAAACCGATATTTTTCCAGACTCGGTGTACCGGTGCACCGCGGAAGAGCGAACAATGGATATGAGAAGAGCAGAGGCTAAGTAGCAGGCTGCAGGTACAGGAACGGAGAGGGCGAAGCAACAGGAAAGAAAGAGCGGATCGAGCGAGAAGGAACCGAAGAAGAAGAAGAAGAAGAAGAAGAAATCGAACGAAAAATCTTTCCTTTCGAACGTGAAATCTAACGACAGAAGAAAGAAAGAAGGGAAAAAAGAACGGAAGGGGGGCAAGTAACAAGTATCTTCAGGAAGAAGAATAAAAGACGAAAAATTTGGAGAAATTTAAAGAAGGGAAGAGAAGAGCGGATAGAAAGAGAAAGAGAGGAAAAATGAAGGAGATCGGATTATGGACGATGATTTGGACAGTGAGTGTAATAACGGGTATGGGCGTTGCACAAACATCGCAACTATGCCCATCTCACACCGAAATCTCGCCCTGTTCCTGCACCCTGAAGAAATCCGGATTGGACATCATATGCGAGTACACGGATCTATCGCACATCTCCAATGTGATGAGCTCTCTCAAAGGAAGGACCAACACTGTCATCTTCTATCTCAGGCTCAGGCACAACAATCTGCCCAAGTTGCAGCCCTACGTCTTCCTCGGCCTCGACATCCGCCATTTGACCATCCACAACAGCAGCCTGGCGAAGCTCGAGGAATCGTCCTTGAGTTCCGTCGGTGAGAAAATATCATTTTTTCGGAGTATCTCGTAATTCGTAATTCCCAAAGGAAATTGGTCGATTATAATTTTTGCATCGTATCGATCTTGATATTCGTTGCCAACGCGATTCGCGTTAACGCGTTACGCGGGCGTGGAATCTTTTGGTCTGTTTGGAATGGAAAAATTGAAAGATCCATTGCTCGTGACGCGTTCACTGCTATGGAAAATAATGAAAAGTTAATTAGCTATGTTAGTTAATAAGCTATGGATAATGAAAAGTTAATTACGATCGTGTTTGAAAAGGAAGGAATGAAGAGTTGAGGAAGAATAAAGAATTAGTCGGAATTTTGATGTGTGAAGGATTAATTTTTAACATGTTTGTTACAATTTATTTGGTAGGAAGTGGGCTGACGCAATTGGACCTCTCGCAAAACGCTTTGGCCTCGACCCCGTCTAGCGCGTTGAAGGAGCTTCACCATCTACTTATCTTGAATTTGAACCGCAACAAGATCAAGGCCATCCATAAAAATGCTTTCGATGGATTGGACACACTCGAGATTCTTTCCCTCTACGAGAACGAGATCTCCATCATAGAAGAGGACGCCTTCACAGGATTGCACGAGTAAATTTCTCAAATTTCTCTTCTGCTTAACAATCCTTTTATTTTCTATTTTTTCAATTTTCTCCCCGAGATAAATATTAAGAAATATAATTTATACGTATGTGTACGTATATCGCGAATTTTGAATCCACAGAACGATGAGAGAAAGAATTAGTTATTAATTAACGATTAAATAATAATATTTATATATTAATCTCGTTGAATGTTAAACAAGCTAGAGAACGAATTGCAAATAAAAGAAAAAGAAAAAAACTATAATGGAAATTATAGTCGAAAGCTGAGGAGATTGAATCTGGGAGGAAACGAGTTGACCAAAGTGCCGACGCAAGCGCTCCGCACTCTGAATATGTTGAAAAAGTTGGAGATGCAAGAGAATAGGATCGCTTCCATTCAGGAAGGTGATTTCGAAGGTACGTCTACTTTCATTTCCGCTCCCCGCACAATCCTCATCCGAGATTTCTTCTCGCGCATTATTACTATTCGAAATATCATCCTCGCTACTCTTGACCATCTCTCTCAAATATAATAAACGATTCTCGTTTATTATATATATTAGATAAATTGTTCAGATAAATTGTTTAAATTATTTCTGAAAACCAAATTCGTATAAATGTTTGTTCAGTCGTATTTATTATATATTACTCGATCGACTCGGTGACGCGGAAAAAAAAGGCACGAAAATAAAATAAAATATAATAGTATCCGAGTTAATCCCATTTTTCATCGTCTCGGAATGAAAATGGATGAAAAATTAATTTCGCGTAAAATTTGATCGATCGAGCAAGCTCGATATTCTTCCACTTCGGAATCGGCTCGTGCGATAATCCCATCATCCGTTCACGAACGCGAAAACCTATTACGTTGCATACCGATAAAAATCCTCTGAAACGAAACGTACAAATTGACTTACGGCTACGCATCGAAATTGATACAGAGAAACGTTATATAATCCTTGTGTATCGAGAAACATATCGACGAGCCTACTAAACTATTCCCTTTCTTTCCCGTGTTCTTTTTTCTTTTTTCTTTTTTTTTTTTTTTTTTNTTTTTTTTTTTTTTTTTTTTTCAGGCCTGGAAAGCCTGGACTCGTTAGGATTGGCGCACAATCGGCTCCGCGAGGTACCCACCCGTGTCTTCTCCCACATGACGCAATTAAACTCTTTGGAACTGGACGGGAATCAAATTACCCACGTGGATCCGAATGCGTTCATCGGTCTCGAGGGTAAGCGTAATCACCATTTCCACGCGATTCCTTTGACCAACGTCCACGGTATGCAATTTGAAACGTTATTATTATTTCTGCCGTTCGGTTCAACGTTCCCTCGCCCCTCCCTATGTAACGTCCATTAATCCCACTGATTTTCCATTAAACGTTTACGAGACGAGAAATCCGTCTATCCCTCCAGTTTCGCGTTCAAACTCGCGACGCGACTAAACACCCGTACAACAATGATCCAAATTATTAGAGACAGTTTACGGTTTTGTAATTGGTTAATCGGTTTGTCCGGCCCGGGGATAATTACGCGAAATGAAATTAAATTAAATTATTTATACAGTGTCGAGTAGTTTACTTTGTACGTAGAGAAACGTTAAATGGTAGGGGAGGAAGGTGAATGATTTGTAGAATTTTTTGAACTTTTTTTTTTTTCTATTTTGTAGTGAAGAAGAAGAAAAAAAGGAAGAAGGGTAGAGAGAATGGAAGTGGAATATATCGTGGTATAATAAATTGTTAGAAGTAAATATTTTAATTCTTATAATTTATTAATATTATTAATGAAAATATTATCTCTTTTTTTTTATGTCATAAACCAAACATTAACGTTTCTTCGTATCGTACAAAGGATATTTTTATATTTTTTAATTTTAAAAATTTCTCTGCTGGAGATATAACCAGAATGAAAATTTGTAATGTAAATTTGGAATAGTAATTGGTTCGTTTAACACTTGATAATTCGTCGATGAATGGATGAAAATTTTAAAATACATTCGCGAATCTCGTAAATAAAAATTGGTGCAAAGAGTAGTTGCTTTTTGTGAACACGGTGGTTAAAAAAAAAAAAATAATAATTCGAAAATTTTTGAAAAATTGCCACTCGGATAAAATTCTGTTTGCTAATGTACAACGAAGTCCGTTCGTTTGGACTACAAACGAGTTTTCGACCCGATTCGATTCGTTACAATTCTAGAATAGAATCCGGGGAAAAACTTGAAATTTGCATGTTCGACCAGTTGAGTTGCAACGGCGATTCCCTACACAAAGCGATTGTGTACGATTTTTGTAATCTTTAAAAAAAAAAATAGCGTGATTTATAATTAGTGGAAATTACATTTCCTTTGCATTATAAAATATCCCTCTTGATATCCATTTTAAAAACGTTGATTATCGAGATTGACGAAGATAAAGGAACAAGATGTATTCGAAAAATAAACTTTTCCGATAATCGATCGATGGCAACACCAATTCAAGCGAGTCATACTTTGTTGTAAACAACAAAAAATCGTTAGAAAAACCATTTTTACGCGTTGCATACCGTTCACGGTACAAATATTTGCATATTTATGGGTTTCCACGTAATCCTTCTTTAATAGGTATTATTTGCTCTAAATTACTTTTTTCGCGATTATCCTGAATATCCTCTTCTCTCCTCTTCCCCTTCCCTTTCGCAGCAACCGATCCTTTTTCGAGGAAAAAGATTATTCGCAAAGACGAATCGCAAAATTTCCATTGAGCAATTGAACAATTTTTCCAAAGAATAAATAATAGGCGCGATTAATTTAAACAAAACTCTAAAAACTAGGTATATAAGAATTTATCCATACCAAGTTGCCTTACTCTCGGCGATTATAATTATCGTCCTAATTAATTCTGGTTAATTTATAAACACGTGCTCGATGCACCGTGTCATCGATTCGAACGTTCATGCATATTTTATTTTAATTCCATTACAGAGAACCTGCAATATTTACGACTGGGCGATAATAATTTACACTCGGTGCCGAGCGATGCGTTACGTCGCCTGCATCGATTACGTCACCTCGATTTAAAGGCCAATAACATTACCGCGCTCTCGGAGGACGCTTTCACCGGATACGGGGACTCCATTACGTTTCTCAACCTCCAGAAAAACTTGTAATTCCCTATTATTTCCTATTTAACGAATCGATATTTCTCCATAATTTTATTTTATTCATCTCTCTCTCTCTCTCTCTCTCTCTCTCTCTCTCTCTCT